CCTCCCCCCCTACCGCCCTCCCGCCGCTCTCTTGCTCTTTCTTTTATTCATTCTACGGAAACATTTGCATGCGCTATTACAATGCAGAGTAGCATCTCCGTCCCGGGTGCACCTTGTGCATCGGTTCAAGGTTGGTTAGTTTCGCTCTCGATATACGAAAAATTCGACTGACCCAGACGAACGAATGACGTCGCAAATGGAGAAAAATTGTAATTGTCCGATAGAGGCGCTGCGCGCCATCGTGGATTTTCATGATATATCGCTGAGCATCGGTATACGGAATGAACGATCTATTATTCTGGATGAAGAGTTGCCTATCTACGTGGTCATCGCTCGCGGAGTATAGAACGTCATAGGTGATCGTTAAGGTCGATTCTGCCTGGGGCATCACGGGTATCGTATTTTGAATTCGTCGGCTCTCCTTCCACCTCTACCGCCAACCTCTGGATGAGGTTTACCAATTCCATACGGGCATAGGATCGCTAGGTTAACCGATCGAGTCCCCCGATCGTGATTCCTTAAAGACAGCCCTGAATGCACATGGAAATTATCATGACTTCCTCGAAATGAAAACAGGCGAGTTGAGGGACGTCGTCGGTCACGTTTATTATTTATAGAATAGAATGCTCGCCCACTCTAATCGTCCTCGGGGCCAATGGCCATGTTTACAGATATATATATAATTGTCGCGGAGTCGGGGGGGCCCTTTTTTTATGGAATAAAGAGAAAGAGAGAAAGAGAGTGAGTGAGAGTAAGAGACAACCAGAGCTTGATGGCTGGTGAGATCAATTGGAATTTATTTTGGTACTCTCTTTACAACCGTGTAACGTTGCCCGACGTAGTTCGACGTTTCGTTCTCGAGTTTCGCGGCCGTAAGAGACATTACTTTTGGGTGAGATTAGGAGAGTATTGGTAATTCTTACAGTGCCCCTCGATGTCATATCTCAGAGTCCTCTTTTTACGTATCGTAAGCACTGGTTATAATCTGGGTCCGTTTCAAAATGAACAATTAAAAAAAAATCCCGTTCAATGGCCCGCTTGAGACGATCGCTTCTCTTTTTTATTTTTTATTATTATTAACGACGCATAATCGGAGGAAGTCGTTCGCGCGGAACGAAGAACTCCGGGACGTTACGACGTAACGTATCTGGTTCGGCGTGAAGTAATATATACGTATAAACTCATTCAGCGTATAAGAGAGCGTATAAAGTTTTCGTAAAGACGATTTAAAAATCGCGCGCAAATTCCCGTATGCCATGCGCGTTCAAGGATATAGGAACAGTCGAGACTGGCGAGTCCTTTTTTCGCGGAAAAAGTTAATTTTTCGAAAAAAGTACATCAAGGTCGGCGCTCCCCTTGACGTCAGAGGACAAAGGCCGAAGGGTGGGATCGAAGTTGGCAGCCAAGGAAAAATGATCAAAGGTCGCCGTAGCGTCGAGACGCGACTTGAAACGTCGAGCAGTTGTCGTAGTATGTGGTAGCGTCTGGCTATCATGAACACGAGGCTGACTGTGCTATACTAAAATATCTGTCCTTTACTATCTACTTTACCTACTCGATCACGGGATATTTTCGACGAATAGACGTCCATGTTGATAAGTATCAAATTCGAATGGTTATTCAGCTACGTAAGCGTCGTTTAAAAACGTTAATATTAATAAGCATTGTTCAAACGACATAACCAAGTAATTACGCAGCCTTGCAGCGTCAGTCTTACAAGTTTATATTGTGACCGACGGAGTCGTCGAGTGCAAAGGCAGTAATGGCGCCTGGCGCGCGCTCCTACTATTTGCCTACCTAATTATTACGATCATTTAAAGGGAATATCCAGTTGAGCACATAGGACGGCGCGCAGAGTGGCGTTGTGCGTGTCTCTCGATGGCTAGCAATCGGTATATTAAGTATATTAGGTTGACATTAGTACTAGCGACTCTACAAGATAGCCCGGCAATAATTAGTCTCTGAGTGGTTGCTTGCCTCGACGTAAATACAGGAGAAGGAGGAGAGAGAGAGGCTTCTCAAGGAGTGGGAGAGGATGTCAGAGACGGTTGTACGTATAACGAGAGTGGTGGGGATGCGTCTTTTCTCGGTGAAGTCGGAGTGGGGATTATTTACTCGCTATTCACTATTGGATCGACGTTGAGCACCAGTTTGCGCCAGGCGCTTCATCGTGTGGGTTCTTTGTGTTATTTTTTTTGTTTGCCAATGCTGTGTTCTGTGTCACGATCATTACGGATGCATATTTGCTTTAAACTAGTACTGTTGAATGCCACGTGCTTAAACAATGTTTATATCCACTGGGTGACATCTCTTTAATACAGAAATTGATAAAATGGTGCGTGCTCGTGGCTGTCTATTTACGCTCTGTCTAGGTCTCTAGCGCGAAGGTTGTAACAGTGCGCGTTCACAAGACAGCGTATATTTCGTGCTTGAAAGCGCCAATCGAGAGGAAGCGGAGCGACATCTTTTATTGTCGACCATGAATTAACCGCGATACGGGATATATCGGTACACCGGACAGTATATATGTGTGCTGTTAATTGGCTCGTACGTACGTATGCAAGTTGTTAGGCGGAAAAGAGTTTATGGTATTATTTGGTGTGAATCGTCACGAGGAGTGATTACATTCATAAGGCGCCGCATTGAATGGCACCCGATTTCGAAAAGAAGAGGGACCTGAGGAGGGCTGGTGCGGGGATCGGTCCTGGGTTTGGTGCCCTAGCTGGTGCTGGAGGGATGCTTTTATTAAGGTGCTCCGGCAACCCCTTCCCCGATTACTACAGATACGGTAATGGATTTGGTCGTTATCCCCTTTTGATGTACGTATACGAAATCCCAGTGACGCCCTGACGATCCACGACCACCTGTTGTTCCACCCCGATGCTCCGAACGTATTTACAAATAAACTCTCGGTCGAATTGTTACGTCATCGAATTCGTATATCGTACGCGACTAAACCTCACTATCCACTTTCATTCTGAAACGGAATCAATCGAGTTTACACGACCCAAGATTAGTGTTGGTTCGCGTAGTGATTCGGTTATCGAATTTTTATAAATAAAAATGTCCGCGAAGCGCGTCCCCAAGACGTACCAGCGCCCGTCCAGAAGTGCTTGTTTATCGGGCGTCCACTTTAATTGGACGTAGATTATAGTTTCCTAGAGCTAGATGCGCTCAGCGAGACATTCGCGGAAAGTAGATTAGCCGAGTGGATTCGACTGGCTTATCCTAAGTGTCGGAAACTGCCTTAACGTTCAGTAACGCCTTTTAAAACTACGCATAAACGATCGTTGTAGGTTACTGCTATTATCGCAGTTTCGTGGGCAAGGCAGTGACAGGGGGTCGCAGCGAAACGTATATATCTCGTGCGATGAGCACCGCTCGCAAAGGAAAACAGCTGATGCGCGTCAGTTAATTTTTACTCTCTGCATTTGCCACCTCCTTTACGTTTATCATCTCCGACGATACCAAGGAAATTCGTTGTTTGCCAATGTTTCTTTTATCCTTTTTTTTTTTTCTTTTCCTTTTCTCATAAACGCATCGTACCGGTTCGAGCGGGTTTCCTAGCCGATAGACGCCCTTGTACGCAATCGCGGACAGAGGTCAAAGTTCACTAGCGAAAGAGCTTTTCGAGTGCTTGAATTCTGTATGATTCAAGTTATTGCTATTACATGCTCTCTTGATGCATATTTACAACGGGACGTCAATGCCGACTGATCACTCCTGGCTTTTAATTCACCCTATAGGATATCCCAGCGGCTCATAAATTCGTCCATTAAACTGCCGACTGCACTGGCGTCCTTATTTAAATGTATTAATGAGAAACGATGGGATTTTCTCTTTGCCGTCGGCAAAATTCCCCAGCTACGTACGATAAAATCGTGCCTTTTAGTGCGGCTTCGCTGAGGAACCGTCACGGGAAGGTTCCTGGAGCCAGGTTGTTGTGTCTGACATTCGAAAGTTTTCGGATAGTGCACAAATATATGCCTATATACATGTATATATAGACATTGCGGCAATACTGTGAAGAGGCGCCATATATCATACATATTGTCTTTGGTATAGCATATACTTATTACGTTGGCTACTAACGAGCGATCTGGATTCAGTTCCGTTTCGAATGAGGATAAACTTTTCCAGTAAACGAAAAACTAAGATGCGCTCTGTCGGTGTTTTCAGAAATATGAGAACTTGGTGTTGCGCGTGTTTTGGTCGATGCGCATCTTCGCTCGCGTTATCTCAGATATTGAAGTAGGCTATCAGCGATGCCATTAGGTATACATACAGACTACCGTGTAAGATACACACGAGTCTGGTGTACGCTATCTCAAGAGTCCAAGGGCCTTTGGGAATCGGTAATTCGAGCGAGAATCAAATTGTTCCAGACTATGTACAACAGTTGGGATCGTTATGTGTTCTTAAATCGATCGTTTTGATACGCTCGAAAGTCGGAAGGAAAAGTGCACCGGATACTTGTAGTGGGATCGGTTAAGTGGAAATCCGAAAACTAAAAATGCAGAATGAAGGTAGAATATTAACCGGTTTCTTCTGCCGCGAAATCCAGTCATGAAAACAGTCGCAGATCGATCGTCGATGACGTAAACACTAACGGGTGTCGAGTTTAATTTTTGAGCACCGTTTGAAATGTTGTATTTGCAGTCTTCATGTATCAGGTAAAATAGACGTCGACTTTACGATGATCTCTTTGAGAGTCTCCCCTCAGTCTCTCCTCAAATAAAGTCTCACCATAACGATTTGTTCGTTTGTTTTGACGAGGATTCCAATAATTGAACATCATCGACAGAGACCCACTTAAATATTTGTATATTACAGATATCACGCGTGCTTGCTGACAAGCGATATATAACATTTTTTCGAAGAGAGTGGAAAAACGGTGATTTATTTGGAGGGAAAAAATTTTTTGTCACCGATTTTTTTATTTACACTTTTTTTTTTCATCGTTCTCTGGTAATCACGGCACCTCGTACGAGGATCATCGCTGATATTCTTTGCCGACTGCTTTAGACCGGTATTAAAATAGACGCGATAGTATGAGACAATATTGTACGAGACTCTGGTGTGTAGTCTCCGCTGTACGTTCTATCAGGCTACTACATAGCGAGAAGAGGCCATTGACAATTATCAAGAGAAAATACAATCTGCAAACATGCTCCCTTAGGCCAATAGCGTTTTACGTTAGCACGATGGATGCAATATTTATCGTGCGCGTTATCATTGGGCTTGCGCGAATACACCGAACTGGATAAGAGGAGGCTGCGTCGAGACTCCCTGTGAAAAACAAACAGAAGCAGACAGACGTCTCTCGCTGATATTTTGCGGATCCGAACTGCATAAGATGGTGAAAGTGCATTGGCATTGAAGAATCGTATGGAACCTCTTTGAAAGATTTGCATAAAGTTCGCTACTAAAAGTCCGTCGATTGATGCGATTATAGATTTTTGTATAGAAACATTGAAATTGGTCATAAAAATCTACTACAAGTATATATAATAGGACTCGGATCTGTAGGAACTGTTTCCTGTGATGTAATTATCATAGATTATCATTGATAATTTAAAGGTCTATAAGTGTTCCGGAATTCGAGTGAAATAAAGTAGCAGATAATAGACTTTGGTAGATTTTCATTATCCAACTCAAACTGTATATACGCGTGTACGATCGTTCTAATTGCCGGACTTTAAATCGAGATGGTTAATAAATCTTTTACAGATCAATTTTTTTACCACGGCGATCAAATCCTATTGTTAGTGGGGGATGTCCGAGCGATCGATATATATATATATGTATATGTATATAAAACTACTACCTTGGAACATCACAGCATTGGAGTTCTGACCTAATCTAATAAAACGAAAGATTTCTAAGTCCATCACAAATACTGAATGCCTATCATTGAAAAAATATAAAAAATTTCATGAGACTTTATGGCCCTCAAAACAGTCATTAAGCTGGAAAATCTTTGAGGACGGTCCCCGAACAGCCACTTGTCCTCAAAATAGCAAGTTCGTAAATGAAATTGTTCCCAAAGTATCCCCTAGCAAAAAAAATATGTGTATATATAGTCGTCTGACGATTTTGAATCGTCTTTGGGGGTTGCAGGGGAAGGAAATTCATAGAATTGGCCTTCCCCCACTGCTGCGCCTCTAGCACACGTTTCAGTCGTTTGTCATACATAGGAAAATAACTTTGAGCTAACTACTATATTCAAATAAAAACTGTAGCTTAAGGCCCAAAATCGAGTGCTGCCAACCGAACTCCAATCTCTACTTATATAGTCTTAAGTAGCATTGAAACCTAGTAAGAGGGTAAATGGAGCCACAATCGAGTTTCTCAGAATTACGAGACGACCGTGCATATCATATATATTATTTTTTCTACAATTCATTGCAATGTGCAATGTGCAATGTTGATGAGTGCAAAAGTGCAACAGTCGCGATAGATACGGGTAAACTCTGCGTGGGTCGTTGACATCGTCCCGTGATTTTCCTCGCGTTCTCACACAGATGCGCCCCCTACACCTGCGTGAGCGCATGTGCCCATTACGTAGTAGCACTCAACCCCCTGTTGTCAACCCCCGCGCCACAAGTTGCGTAGCGATTGCAGCTGCACATCCCCGCCCCCCCAGCGTCCCGCAGCTCCCGCGCAATTATCCCAGCCAGTATAGTCGAGCCCTTCTATAGATAGAATTTCCACGGCGCCTCCTCTCACGCCTCTTTGCTTTTCTCAGTTGGCCATTGCTATTCCCGTAGCAAGTCCCGCTTTCCCCTGCAGGTAGGAATTCGCACTTGCCGATTAACTTGGGATCGCTGTAATTCGACGGGGCGATGGCTGGTAGAGGGTAGCGAACGCGACGGCGGTGGATGGACGGTACTTCGGTTGGAAATAAATGTACGTCCGTGCTTTGTTCGTAGGTGTAGTATTTTTTTCTTTTTCTCTTTAGCGATTGCTTGGTTCGTTTGAATATTGGCGATGAAAATTAATTAACAACGATGATGACTAATGATAATTTAAAATGAACCCGCTTAACTGCTGCACGCATTGTTTATATACGGTGCATACGCTTAATTGGTTTGGACGTCACTCGATCGACAACAACGGTGTAATGTATTCGAGAATTAATTATTGCTGGATATTTCGTATCGTTTCGGGTTGACTAGCCCTTTTAAAAACATCGCAAAGACTCCTCGTCCTCGTATATCAGTTCCTTCATGAATATTTGTCGCTCTGCTCGGTGCTTCGCGTAAATTCGGGAGCTGCGACGAGTCGCTTGGTGCGCGATTCGCGTGGAGGAGGCGGGATAATTCAGTGACTTACGGAAACGCTTCGCGGGTATTACGCGCGATCGGCGTAAAACTGGCGTGTAAAGAGAAGCGTTTAAAATGAGAAAAAGGAAAAGAAAAGAAAAAGAATAGAAACTTCGACATTCATTTCTCGTGTCTCTTCCCTTTCAATTAACTCGTTCGCGCTGGTTTCTATTGCTCTATACTTGTAAGATTTCCTTTTAGGTCTCCTCGACGTCCTCGTCGACGTCGCGCGCCGTCTTCGACCTCGCGCGCCGTCGTTCGCTGTACTCTGTTCCATCTGTCGTTTACAATCGCGCGACAGAATTTCAGCCGCCATTCACGCATTCACTAGTCGCATTCTCCGCACTGACGACGTTTACAACAGAGAGGAAAACGGTCTTGCAAATTGGTCGCGAGAAATATTCAGTAGTATTTTCATTCATGCGACGGGCCCAGTGACACATCCGCTTGAGATGTATCGGGGTTTTTTTTTTTTTTTCAAAGTAAATAAGCGTCCACGGATCGTGACGCGTCGTCACGTGAGCACACTTCCGAGTTGGCATTTCTTGTATACGTGTACAGCCTAAAGACAATAAAAAGAAGAAAAAAAAAAGTAACAAGGACTTCGTGTTCGGGGAAGCGCGAACGCCTGGGATTTATGCAAATATTGATATCTAAACCAATAATCTTTATAGGCATAGGATTGTACATGTGTATATAGTACATATATTGGTTTTTATTGTACGTACTACGTTTTTCTATATAGACTCCTCGATTCTTTTTGTTATTTCGTTTTCCCTATATCTAGTATAGACTCGTTTCTTCTGAACTTTGATCGCTCATGCTCGGCGCTGGACGTCAATGACTTGCTTTCGATCAATGCCGAAAAACAAAATTGTTGCCGAGCGTGCAAGTGCAACGTATGTCACGTTTGTACGGCGAATTGGTCGTTTAAAAATACGCGCAGGACCTTTCGAAAGGTAAGCGAGACGTGCTCGAGCGACTTTTCTACTGCGTGGACGTAACGAATAATTCAATCGAACTTTTATTCAACTGGGCGAACCAATCCCGTATGTAAAATGGATGTAGGACTTGTACCAGTCTGACTGGTCGCGTGAATGCTGTTCGGGTGTATTATTTGGTTGAATCGAATTACGTTCTTTCTCGAGGATTCTTCCGCGATGATCCTGACCTATCCATCCTCTATAACCAGTCGTCCGTGATGCTTTCGTATAGTTTCGCGAGAAAGAGAGAGGAGGCAGTTAGTCACTGTATGTTTTCCCTGAAATTCATTTTTTTTTTTTTTTTTTCTATGTAATTTCGCGGAAAACGATAAACGATCGTACTTCGCTTCGGTAGCCGTATGAAAAATAGACCATTGAATTTGTAGGTCTTGAATGTTTCAGGTAGCACTGCAGGTGGCACGTTGTCTGCGGTAACAGGAACTATCGCAGGAGCTTCTTTACTGTCCGGCAGTCGAACGCATTCGAACAGGAGGATCAATCGTTCTCGTCAGCAACAGGCGCAGCAAGTGCAGCCACAACAGCAACACAGAATTCCGTTGGCCTCCTTGAGGCAAGGCGCCGCTGGCCGAAATTCGGATGAGATCGGGCGCAGGGCCTCTTCGGGCCAAGAGGTCTGCGACAACTCTAACGACTCTGGTCTCGGATTCGAGGAGCGACAGCAGCACTTCGGGAACGCAGTTAGTAGATGTACTTACAACGTGAAGGATACAATTATTTTTTTTTTTTTTTTATTTGTCCACGACTCGGGACTGTGTTCCGTTTTCTTTACGGTCAGTTCTGTTACTTTAGAGGAGGTACTGTGTTTTACAGTAGGCATCGTGGAGAATCGTTCTCCTATGACATAATCCTCTGGTGACTGTGTATCTGTAGCATTGAAAACGTCTTTATTCGTGTTCCGAAACGAGTTGGGTTATCGTCCTGGGCTGTTTATGGCGTAATTTTTGTCATTGACGGGGTCTTTCTTTTCTTTTGCTTTTCGTTGATCTTGCTACGACGGGTACGAGTACTTGAATGTCTTTATCGAGTTACCAGATCGTATCGTTTCTTGTTATAGTCAGTGATTCGAAATTTTGCATGACCTTGCTCGGGTGTCAGTCGAGTTTGATTTCTGCGATTGAGGTTTTTTTTTCTTAATTAATTTAAAACGCTATTGAATTCTGTAGGACACATTTAAAATAAGTCTATAAGCACTGAAAGATGTGTAGCGAAAATTGTTCGTCCCTGTTGGGTACTTCGCTGACGGTAGGAACGGTTCAACGGTAGTTGAACTCGTCGTACTTGTTGGCTGATTTATTAAATTGAGCCGACCGCTCCAACTCAATCCGATCAATTGCTTAACAGGCCTGGAACGGCGCTGGGGAGGACGAGTTCAAGAGGAGGAGAATGGACATCAAACTCGAATCTGAGGACGCGAACTTCGCGTTCCCGGAGGCTGCTCACACTGTGAACGAGAGCAAGAGTCTTGGCAGTACGAGAAATACGAGCAACGGTATTGGCACAACAATATCAAGGGCTGGCGCAGGTGCTGGCGCTGTAGGAAGGGTCGTTGGGATCACTCGACCTCGTCCAGCAATTGGAGTTCTCAGCAAAAGGCCATCCCCGGCTCATCAAGGTCCAGTCACTCTTACATCGCAGCTTTGTACGTGTCCCTGTAACGAGCAGTTTCATACGTGCTCTTGAGCACTCCTCCAGTGCAGTAGTTTCAATGAAATTCGTTTAACAAGTTTTAAATCGTTTTGCGCAGGCTGGGATCACTAGATTTTCTATAATATTCAGACAGGCATAAATATATACCCCCATTGATTCATCCACTGACAATGTCTTTCTCTTTTTCCATTTTGTTACCGCGCATGTAGGTAGCGTGTCTAGGGACGGCAAGACCCAACTACAGATCATATGCCAACCGGAGCAACAGCACAGAGCACGATACCAGACTGAGGGTTCACGCGGTGCAGTCAAGGACCGGACCGGCAATGGATTTCCAATAGTGCGCCTCGTCGGTTATGATAAACCTGCTACGCTTCAGGTTTTCATTGGTACAGATTTGGGACGAGTAGCGCCGCATATGTTCTATCAGGCATGTCGTGTCAGTGGAAAGAATTCGACGCCGTGCATCGAGCGCAAGGTCGACGGTACCATCGTCATCGAGGTCGACATGGACCCTGCTAAGGATATGCTCGTGACCTGCGACTGCGTTGGTATTTTAAAGGAACGTAACGTCGACGTTGAACATAGATTCCCGCAGGAAGCTGGAATCCTTCAGGGACGAAGCAAGAAGAAGTCCACGCGTTGTCGTATGGTATTTCGTACTACCATTACGCACTCCGATGGTACTACTGAGACTCTGCAGGTGTGCTCGCAGCCGATTGTCTGTAGTGAGTATTTTCATTTGACGATAGATGGAATTTGTCGTTAAATATTTTTCATTTTTATTCTATCACTTTGCAGCTCAACCGCCAGGGATTCCCGAAATCTGTAAGAAGTCTTTAACGTCCTGTCCGTGTACGGGGGGACTGGAACTGTTTATCCTTGGAAAGAATTTTCTCAAGGACACTCGAGTGGTCTTTCAGCTGGATAACGAGGACTTGTCCAGTTTGGAACCACACTGGGAGTGTGCTGTACTGCCGGATAAGGAATTCCTTCAACAGACTCACCTAGTGTGTGTAGTTCCTCCGTACAGAAGGCAGGATTTGGCTCCCTCCGAAACGGTCAGTGTTAAATTGTACGCTGTATCGTCCGGTAAGACGAGTGAGCCGCACACGTTTCTCTACACAGCAGCGTCCACACCGCCAGAACCTTCAGTTGGCAAGGTCGAATCAGCTACGCCGGCTCTAATGGCAACGACTAACGATACAGCGCTGACTACGTCCTCTGCTACGGTACCACTTCCTGGTGTAACTTCGAACGGTAGGTATTTGTCAAATCGACATAGTTCGCACGAGATGAGTAGATTGTGGATATATGGTATTATGACGTCTTTTTTTTTAAGCAGCTCTGATACCACAAGCCGTCGCAGGGACTACAAATTTCCTAACTAGCATTCAGCAGCAGCACCAACAACAGCAACAGGCCTCCGAGAATCTTAAAAATGATCCAAGTCCACCACCTGCCGCGCCCACGTCGCAAGTTACTCCTGTGATGATGTGGGCATCTCAGTCTGCTAATTGTCAAAGTCCTTCAGCGGATGTAATGATGCCGCCACCATCGTTAGTTGCGAATCCTTTGTTGAACAGACGGTCTTCCTCAAACCTGCAATTGATCCTACCGGATAATCTGAAGACTGAAGTGCTTGATGAGAACAGTCAGAACAGTATCTTGAGTGACAGCAGTATGCAGGGTCTTCCTACCCCAACAACTAACGGACCAGCTGGCTCAAGCCCTCTACAATTGGTAGGTGAAAATTCGAGAGAGGCCACGTCGAATATGATCGGTGCTGTTCCGGTCGCAGCTAATGGTTCACCAACTCAGGACACTAATCTTCTCGGCGTGGTAGATCTTATTCGAAATCCGCATCCTTTAACTTTGGCGTCTTCACATCAGGGATCATTTGGTGGTATGCACGAAACGACGCAGGTCAAGGTTCTCAGTCCTCATCATATAAATAAGGACACTAACGCCGTACTGCCGAGCGAAGGTGGCCCAGGAAGTCTTCAAGGTGCCGAAATAGTAGATCTTCGCATGAAGCACCACCAGTCAGAATTCAACGCCGCCCTGTCGGACTTCACCTCCACACCCGTTGGTCAGAGCCTACCCAATCAAAGTGGTCACAGTATCGAGAAGTATCTCAATCATATTGAATCAAACGTACCGTCATCCAAGGATACAGAGAACCAGGACAGTACGTTCGTGAGTGGGATGCAGCAGAGAGCATCCATAATCTCTACTGGTCGCCAGCAATCACAGACTCCTAATATCCTTTCCCCAAATCAGGCTACAGTAAAACTGGATGCCCTGGTGAATTCTGCTGCCGAGAGCCATCAAGTCGTCTCGCCGATTCAAACTAACACAACGAGTCCCAATGGAATGTTGGGCCATGTATCACCGGTTGCAGAATCTTGTCATCGATCTCAACATGAAACAATATCAAGTCCTCAACAGACTACTAGAACCAGTCCTCCGATTCCGGTGAAGACTATGCTATTGGAAGCTCTAATGTCCACCCCTGCTGGTCAACCCTTATCAGGGGTCAATACCACAGCAACTACAACCACAACGACAGGGTCATCCGAACAGACCGCTAATGAGAACTTATTAACCACGATCAATGCTGCACTACTTCCGCCGATGCAAGAACCTCCGGTAGTGACAGCAGCAGGGACACCAACGCCACCAGTCAGTGTATCAGCACACAATCCACTTCAAGTCAGCAGTGAGCCAATCTCAAGATCCACGGAGCACATGCAAATTCAGCAGGCACTCACGCAGCAAGACGTTGTGATGCAGCAACAGGTGCAACAAGTTGTGGTGGAGCAAGTGGTCGCGCAGGCGCAGCAGCAGGTCGAACAAGTTGTTGCCCAGGCGCAACAGCAAGCCGTGCAGGCTGTACAACAAGCCCAGCAACAGGTAGTACAGCAGGTTGTACAGCATGCTCAAGTAGTACAACAAGCCGTGCAGCAAGTTCAAGCAGTGCAGCAGGTGCAAGCGCGTGCGGTACAGCAGGCGGTACAGCAAGCAACACAAGAAGTTGTTCAGCAAGCTGTTCAACAAGCAACTCAAGAAGTGGTTCAGCAAGTTCAAGCGGTTCAACAGGCAGTTCAACAGGCGCAGGCAGCTCAGGCAATGCAACAGGCCGTGCAACAAGATATCGGCTCGATGCTGAATCAACCTGCAGGATTCGTAGCGGAAGCTAGTTCCGCTCTAGCAAGCGGTGCTGCGCAGGAACCGTCTCAGCAGAGACTGACTACGGCAGCCGAGCAGGCTATCAATTCGGTGATTACAAATGCCACTCAAGATATTATAAATAATCGACCCATATCGGCAACAACGGCACACGCCATAATAGCTACGAAAAATATATTAAATTCCGTGGCTACCCAGAGTGCCCAACTTATGAGCAACGCTATGGAAGGAATTCTTCCTAAGTCACCATCTCAGACTCAAGGTAATATTGTAGAGCAAGTGACGAATAAATCTCCACCAGTGGCCTTGCCTGTGGCACCGACCAGACAGAATGTTAGCCCAAGTATACAGAATCCAACAGCAACCTCGAATGGTCCCCCTGCGAGGAAACCAGAGGACGCTGGTGGTATGTTGCCCCAGGAATTAACTTCTATGTCGGAACATGATCTTTTGAGCTACATCAATCCGAGCTGCTTCGATCCCCAAGGCGGCTTCCTTATGTAGTAGTAGTGATCACACAGTGATCCGCCTCATTTGGGGAATGTGCCTGAACTGTTCTGGGTGTAGGAGAATCCAAACCCATCCATCCAACGATTATCATTAATCTAAGGTTACTATCAGTTCAATGTAAATAGCTTTTATTCCACTGGTGTTAATTCGAGGTGGTTAACATGATCGCAAGATAATGGAAAAGTAGGAATATATCCCGTTGAAATTAAAATCTATAAAAAGCAGTACGAGTAAATTGAAGAAAATAAATCTTCAAGTTATATGGAATTTTATAGATAGAAGAGAAAGGAAGGGCCGCCAAGATTGGAGTCACATCGGCACGCAGATTTTCATAAAACAGTGGATATATAAGAGCACTCTACCCCTTATAAACAATAAGAGACACTACTACGGCTAAAGTGAGACGGGCGCGAATGTGCGCGACAATTAGATATTCTTACGTTTTTGTCTACGAGTAAATAAATTTATTGGTAATACATTAATTTATCTTCTTTAGTGCCAGGGTAGACGGGTATTTCTTACCCCGTGGAGAATATCTCGAGAATTTATTTCATTTGACTTTTCTCTGTGAAACTGAATTACTATTGTTTTTCAGTTTTCTTGTTATTTTTTCCGTTTAGTTTCTACGAAATCATTTTATTTTATTGTTTCTTTTTATCTTAATGTGCTTCAATGTAACGCTTAACGATGTACTGACCCCACTCAAAGGAAAAATTGTACACGGTTTTACGGAGAGGGAGAGGGAGAGAAAAATAGAGAGAGAGAAAGCGAGCGAGCGAGAGAGAGAGAGAGAGAGTGTGAGAGGGTGGGAGGGAGGGAGGGAGGGAGAAAGGAAGAGAAAATAAAAAAGCCATGGAATTGAGTGTAGCCAATTTATTCTAATTGTACATTAAGGTATGATTCTGTAAATTATTATTGATAACTTTCTTTTGACTTGATTTCATTAAACGCAATGAATCATTTTGTTGTTTGACTTTGTTTCTTAAGTTAATTTAAGTTTTAATTTGTATCTTATACATTGTTTAATAATGAATTTGTTGTTAATTATTACTGATATTACAGAGAAATTATGTGATTATGTTGATGTTATCAACTATTAGTAGAGGAATAAAAGAAATGACAGAGATTATATTATATGACGAGGAGAATAGTAAATGAAAGTATATATCGTAAAAGAAATATTAAACAAAAATATATAAATATATTTTTTACGTTTACCCAAAGAAAACAATACATTTAATATAAATGTAAAAGTGAGCTTACTAAAAAAAAATCTTATAGCGAGATCCATTCAAATGCATTTTCAACATCGAAGGAGACATCTCAATATTCCTGGCCCTTTTCAGTAAAGGCAAGGGTTGCTAAGCATTATTTCTACTACTATTATTACTATTACTATACTACTACTACTACTACTAATCTACTACTAACTACTTCTATTACTACTACTACTACAATTAAGAGTATAAATACTCACCAAGGTTATTATCTAGTAGCAGAGACAGATTTTATATGAAGATATTGATATATCTAGTATCATGAGCTACGTTTATATATATTTTATATCTGTCATATGAGAATATTGTTATGTCAACTCAATGTAATACACCAAACACAAATGCATGTGTATATTCTTATATTCCATGTATCACGGGCCAATAGTGCATATAATATATAAGGAACACAGAATTATCTACAAATGTCCAATGCTGTATTACTAAATAACAAATTCATTCAAACAATATTCTATGTATATCATAAAAATATCTATGACACGTATTCTACACATTGCGCACATCATAGTAGTATACAGAGCTTATTTTTAAAAAAAAGTCTCATAAACATGTACTATCATCGTTACTTCCTATGAGTTGAATAAATGTTTCACAGCAATTCTTTTTTTGCATAAAATCGTGACACCGCGTTGATCCGGTGGGAAATAGTTCGTCGATTTATTGAATGAAATTTATGCGCTCTATATTTTGATGCAGACGAGCAATTCTATTACTTTCATAAAATGTATAATTGACAAGCATGATGCAACAATATGAAATATTTAATAAGCGTAAGTAGTAACGATATGAATACAACAATTACGTGAATGATTACATAATTTTTATCGTTATGTAATCGAGTATATTAATTTGTCTTAAATGTTCGAAAACCAGGCACCGTTTTCCCCACGTACTTTGCGCTCCTTGAGCAATTTCTCAAGGTGATGACGTACGTTTGCAGCAGCTGCGTTCCATAGATTTTCTGGAGTCTCCTTGAAGTACACAAACATACATTTTCAAAACATAAATAAATATGATTTTAGGAAAATGAGAAGTATACAGATGTCGTGTATTTCAATACCGTGTATATACGTTGCACTATATCCATTTCAGATAACGAGTTCATAGTTCCATGTTCTTGCAGAACCTTTAGGATTTCGTTTTCCCTTTGTTGACGATGTCTGATGTAATATTGAATGCGTGGTACAGGACTCTCAATGACTGGTCCATGACCCGGGTAAATGACCTTTGGAGTCATCTGTATGATCTTCTCCAGGGACAAGATATAGTCGTGTAAATCTTCAAAGACTGCTGTACCTTCGCCTAATATACAGTCCCCACTAAATAATGAATTGTCCTCCAAGAGTGTCAGGCATGCATGATCCGTAGTGTGACCAGGAGTATGGTGAATTTGAAGTTTAGCACCGTCGACTTCAAATAATTGACCATCGTTCATACTACGCCATTCAACAGAGTAGGACTCTTCCTGGCCATCATTCCCACGGTCTTCTAAGGATCTTGATAGTTTCCAGACAGTGGGTGACTTTGCTCTAGTATTTCGAAGTTTCAATAAATTCTTTACCGACTCAACGCCGCCAATATGATCGTGATGCCAGTGGGTAATGATTAAATGTTCTATTGTAGCACCCTCGTTATGCAGGACCTCCTCCAAGAGTTTAGTATACTCGTTCGCGGTTTCGGCATCGCCAGAGTCTATCAGAATTCGCCTGAAACAATAGTTTCTCAATACTGCTGATCATTTTGGTAAGTTATTCGTTGACTAAAATTTATTAGTGATTATGTTATGGCCTACTAGGAAGTCACCTAAGTCCTGTGCCAATGAGGTACGTGTTGGTACCTTGGAGTGTCATGGGACCGGGATTACATCCCAGAATACGTATTACCCCCTTGGATAGTTTCGACACAAGTGGAATAGCCGTGAGCGACGACATACCTCGTGCATTCACATAACCTTACTGGCTGCCATATCATTCGGATTGATAAGTACTGTATAAACCTAGCTAATCATAGTTATGTGTAGTAACAAGGATTGCGTAACTGGAAATGCGTTATACGTGATCATTGGCAAGTTAGTTTCTAATATGTGTAGAAAAAGGTACAATATTGATTGGGTGGGAGAGCATGATATGTTTTTAATCACAGATTGTTTATGTTAATAAGTAGAAAGTTCTTTATTAATAGTTTAATGTCACATAAAATAACAAGACTCGGTATTGGCACTTCAGAGCAATCATCCACTTTCATACTGTAATTCTATGACAGCACGATCATTTTAAGGTTTGCTTGCATTCAAAAGCAAAATCACGAGGCATGGAGAGATGCTCGGTGCTTTTAGCCTATTGGTCACTGCTTTGCTGCTCGCTGCCTGCTGCGTTTCATGTGGAAGATTCATAAGACGTAGCCTAACGATTGGTTAGCTTTAGCAGAATGATGGTAATAGACCCAACGGATACACTCTGTGTCAAGTGAAGTCGAGTTGTGTTTATTAACGCAAAGCTACCAAAAACAACAATTTACAGCGGCGGCTGATGAAAAAAATGGAAAAATGAGAAACTGACGGAATATCCCTTTCGCGAAGATTAGTAACTCTGTAAATTTTGTTCATGCCCTCCCTAGCGGGATTTCACAAAATTATGCCGATCGCTTAACTGCGCCATCTAACGTGAAATTGAAGAACTAACATATTAACGTAAAAAAAAAAATTTATAATTTAAAACTTTTTATACAATAAGGAAAATTTGGTAGAGGAATCAGAAGTATTAATAAAAATGATGTATATTTATATATCAGGTCAATTATGTTTGTTATTGAGATGTGGGATCAAATCCCAAATAGTTCTTACATGACATATGAACAAGATACGTGAAACGATTCAATGTAATATTTCTAGTTTTGAATTAAAGTAAATCGAATCGTTTTGAGTACCTAAACTCGCTACACCCTGTGCGTATAAACAAACATGAACAACATGTACAATATAATTAATATTGATTGAATATACAGTCGATTAGAATTAAGTACACGATATCAGGCGTGCTTCATATCTTCTAAATACATTGCCCTACATTTTGAACGCGCTCAAATCGTATTGTCACGGGTTTTAAAGTGTTACGAGATATCCGGAATCGTTAATACATTCCATTTCATGAATAGCGCGTTTACCGACCACTTAAATCCAGTGTCGCATCTTAGATACTAGACGACGAGTTTACGCAGATACTTCTGTGGCCGTACACTTGTCGAACATGGCGTCCAAGACTTGAGTGAACTTGAGGTGTCTTTCTTCAGGAGCTACGGTGGCGCCACGACTACCCCACAAGAATTTTATATGAAATTCCGTGCGAAACGCATCAGTGAGAAGTTCGTCGCTTCGGCATCCCTCGAGGGCGATTTCGGCATTTCGACGAAAGAGTGGAAGACTCTCTGCTAACTTCCGGGCCGATTCCAAGTGTGACCAGACAATAGAAAGTCCACAGTCGGACGCTGAATTCTCCCATGGAGACAATATGGCTGCTGCTAACCCGGAGGGGGCGACCGTTCCTGAAAAAAAGAAATATATTTAATAATTATTTAATTCAATACTCGAGCGATTAATGAATAATTCCTTATAGATACCTAGAACATCTTCAGGTCCTCTTTCACCAAGAAGAGCGATAGGTAATAGATGTGGCAATGTGGTATTTGGTGCTTGGGGGTTGGTACACTCATTCATGGCACGTAAAGTAGGCCTAAGTTTAGCCTCGAAACTGAAAGCTTCGTCAGTATGTTTCTGTCTAAGTAGATGCCAGGTATTAGCCAGTCTCTGTATCTGAGGTAAGCATAAACCAAGCATAACACCACAGAAGCCATAGAGATTCCCAAGGGCTGTTTTCGTGTCGACAGCAACTCTTATCCACTTGCTTATGGTGGCGGCTCTTTCGATGGCAGTGGCGCCGGCCAAGACAGTCACGGCGACAAGAAGCTTTATGCATTCCGACCTTTCTATGAGATCCACCCTCGCTTGATGGCCATGAGGTAAAGTGGCCAATTCCAAGCCACTTAAGCCACTTCTGTTACCAGATCCTGGATTTAGTGCCACTTCTAGGTCGATCCGTGTCAGATGTGAAGCAAGGACTCTTGGTGCGGATTCATGAAGCATTCCTGAGACACCCCTTAGAGCGGTAGGGTCTAAGGGTCGATGATCCCCAGACGGTAATAATAACGTAGAAAATCCTTCAAGGTCCAGAACGGTTGATATCTCTAGAGACGGAGCTGCTACCACTAACTGCTCTTCTGTTGACAGCTCATAGTCACTACCATTGCTGTTGGTGCTCTCTATGACGTTATAATGACTTCTGATAATGACACCTTTGATTGGCAGTGCAGGATTGGTACCACCTGAATTATTCATTTCAAACTCGCTATCACCAGACCCATTTCCACTGTCACTGCCTGACGCTTGGTAAGCCTGGTGGTGGTGATGATGATGATGATAATGCTGTTGCTGATGGTTCGGTATGTATGGTACTCTTGGTGGTTTTGGTGGTGCAGTTATACCCTGATGATTGATACTGTGCTGTGTTTGTAGCTGCTGTTGCTGAAGGGCAGGGTCAGATATGACTCTAGTGATCTTCTGTCTTCCCAATGATAGCGAACATGACGGCGGCTGATTCTGAATGGGTGGAACCCTTGGCAGTGTACTCGACTGAACTGGATGTGGTAAGCTCTGCTGAACCTGATTCTGATTCACATGCTGCTCAGCGGAGTGTTGCTGGGGCGTCAGTGAATGACTGCGTTGCTGCTTTCGAGGTAATCGCGGAGGTGAACCGGTGGTCAAGGAGGAAGAGGAAGGACTTGAGCAATGCTGACTTCCTGGTGGCGCTACGCACGTCAACGGCACGCACCTAGGCTTAGGATTTACTATCCTGGCACCACTGGCTTGACTTATTGGCCTCCCACTTCCGACATAGAACGTTATTAGGTCTGCTACCGTATCGAAGGCTTCATCCTCAAATTGATATTGTGCTCTTTCATAAACAGTATCCGGTTGTATGACGACCTGATGAACAATAGAAATACTCCGGAGGATGTTTCAACCTTATCCTGCATCTATTGAAGATCAAAACTCTTACCCTGTTGATGACGAAGTGCAGGACCTGTCCTTTCCAACGTACAGTCAGGACGTAATTCCCAGGTTGGGAGGCGCAGTCTCGCACCAGGAAGTCACCGTCATTAGGAACCTCATTTTCAGCGCCTTTTCGTCCACCACGTAATGTACTACCATGGTACCAAGCGTGGGAACGTAAATCACGTGGATCCAATAATCTGAGCTCGCGTTCCAGTAACTTCCGTGCCGTCTCTTCTGGTTGCTCCTGCAGACGAGATATGGACAGACAATTGTAATTTGTGCCAATCAATATAAGTAATCGCATAACAGCGTGTTGAGGAACCAGAGATGATTGGCTTAACGAGAGCAGCCTTGACTCTTAATTCATGGAAGATTTCCAAGTTACTGAGCTCTATTTTATTGATATGAAGTATCTCGCAGACTCGAAACCCTAATTCGTCTCGTAAACGCACATTCATAGCTGGATCTAATTGAACGACAAGTTAACTAGAAATATCTTCCACGCATTCATTTGCTCGACTTAGACGATAACAAACGTCAGTCCGTGATACCTACCACGAAAAAAAAAAGATAACGAGACACTGTAACAGTGACTCTTTTGTTACTTTTTATCGAAAACAAATCAACAGGCCTACTCACCATTGATGAATTCAAATTGTTGTACCTCTCGGTCCGTTTTGGCAGTGATTGCGGCCGCCGGAGAAAGCATGCGTCGTCCTTCCCTTCCCCGAGTACCTTATCCACAACCTCGACGACCTCCACCGTTCCCGCGACCTCCTCCTTCTCCGTTCTACAATTAGAAAATAGATTCAATCGTCAAAGCACATCCTCGGTAGCCGATGAGACAATTCTAACAATGCTTCTCCATTCGATGCTTCTTCAGTATCACCAGGGGATGCCCTTTGATTCCTCCTCCTCGATGACTACAATTCTCTTCTACAAGACGAGAGATAGATAGGGTTTGGCTACGGCACTCGGCGAGTGCGCGCACCCCACTGAACTATGTCCCGTAGGCCCCTGTGGGTACAGGAGTGTACCAACAAAGGGCGCAAGAAACGGTACAGTATAAATAGTAACCGCGTAGCCGTTAACGGAGTTCAATAGCACTATTATTATTATTTTCTTTTTCAGAAATAATTTCTTCACCATCGCCCCTCCCAGGATCGTTACCAGTCCTCTCGACGTAGCTAATCCGGGCGCCTGAAAATTTGGTAGAACCAAAAATAATGGGGCACCATATTCACCGATACGTGACTGATCCTAACCGGTCGCCACTCTCGCACACGCGCGACTCCCCATACGCAACTGGCTTTCCTTTCGACTCTCTTTCCGCCCTTTAGATTTTCAACTGGCCGACGAGTGGTCGCGCGCCACTCCTATGGTGGTCGCGTGTTTTCTGATCGATCCTGACCTAGCACGGAGTCACCGCTTCCGGTAGATGCGACGGCACTGCTATCAGAGCTGAGTACACGTCGTGGGAATTATTGATCCGCTCACTTTTCGTAGGGGATGCATATCAGGGGGATGCTGACTCTCTTTCTCTCTCTCTCTCTCTCTCTCCCCCTCCCTTTATCCTCAAGCCCTCTACACATTATTACGCGCCTGCGTCGTATAACTTGCAAGGATACACCCAACGGGCAAGTACATATTCGGATCCACACATCCACGCAGCTGCAATTAATCTTTCGATAAGACAGGATACTAAGATGTCATTCTAGGAAGAAAGATAAGGATTCTTCAGATCTCCTATTACACATTTGAGATAAGAAAGTCCTTATCGTCCTGTGAGTATGCTTAAGATACCCGGTACTTGCAATCCCAGTCAAACTTCAACCCTAATATAGGGATGAAAATATGTGTCCTGCACCCGGGTGTCTTGGAGTCAATTTGACTCTACTTGGTTCATATATAAATTTTCGGTATACGTATCTGTGTGGTTGCCTGTATCAACTAGCATGGCTCTGAGTAATTTTAAGGGCGCCAGTACACACCCTTGTTAATTGACTTCCCTTTTGACTCTTTTTCTTCCTAGTAATAGGGATATACTCAATATACCCTGCCGTTTCAAAGGCAACCATCCAGAAACCGGTTGGTGGCTCCACTCTCTGTACAGCCCTTTCAAAAGCCCTTCAGGCAATTTCTATAAGTTACCTACCGCGACGCGTTATCCCTTTACCGTTTTGTTTTTCTTTTCTTTCCGCCTTTCATTGTGCGTACGCTCAATGTAAACCGCGCCGCACGAATGGCCCATTGCGCCATTGAAAAGTCGTGAACCAGCTACATAAACAAACCATATGAACTCACTGTATACTTTGTCTCGAGTTACAGGGCGACGGCGGTGTGATGACAAGGGATGGTTCCTTCTTGAGAATTATTTCAGGCTGCAAATGAATCGTGTGTCTTTTCGGATAAAAATCCTTCTCGGTGGCAGACGCGACCCCATCCCGCTTCCGGCGACGTCCACTGGCGCTGAGACTCTGCAGGGTGCTCATCGACGGGAATCGAAAGCTCCATGCTATACCTAAAGGGACCGGAAACAAGAACGTTATTACGAAACAGTTACATGGGTTACTTAAAGCCATCACTCCCATTCACAATTCCGACGTCGTATTCCAAGATCGAGCATCGCGATGAGCAGCCATTGACTTTCTAATTCTTATCCCCGAGACGCTTTCTTGGAACTGATCTGACGCTCATGAACGTTCAATGAGTTTTAGCTTTTTTGCTAAAAAAAAATGAAAGACATTTTTTTTCAATTTTATATTACAAAAAATCGTAACCGAATTTCATTGCTTTCAGCTATGATCGTTGCTCGACACGTGGCTGCACTAATTATTACGCTAATACTAAATTAAATCTATGTCCTACGTCTTGTATTATAGGTACTATAAAAGCGACGTAAAAAAAAAGAGCTCAGGTACGGAATGCAGGTGTGTACAGCACTGGTCTCTCTAGCGAGCGACATAATACCTAGTAAACCAATGATAAGGCCACCGTTTACCAAGATAAACTATGCATACTATGTCCCGTGTTGCTTTACGGTTTGTATTTTATCGATAGACGTAGAAGCGACCTTCGAAAACGTTGAAACCCGTGAGACCGTTCGCAGTTAAAATAACACAAAGTAAAGCACAATTTTCGAACGCAGTAGCACCAAAAGACAGTACACCTACACCTATATTACCTATACCCACGGCATCGGTTTTATCGTACACGTGATGTCAGTCGTGATCTGAATTTTAATAGCCATGATTAAACAGATATTTTCTTGTGTGTTTTTATTTACCATAGGACTTACCAAGAATTGATATGAAAAAAAAATATCACTATACATATACAGTAAGCCTTAAATTGAGGACACAGTTTTTTTTTAATACGAGATTTATAAATTATGACGTATCGTCATTGTCTTCGACGCATGCAATTTTTTAAATTTTATAAAAACAAACAAACACTAACTTTGACTGCGACGTGATTTCAACTTGCTGGCAGTTTTTCCCATGTTTCACGTGTTCATTCCGGTTCTGTTCAAGGATGAATGAGCCCGGATAGATTTTTGGGGGCTCGCACAGAAAGAGGGTCGTTTCACAAGTCACTTATCTTGCTCACTGAAGTCCGGCGCTGTTACCGAAGCATAATGCTTTACTGAACCTAGTGAACCAACTGGGTGCGAAGAGACAGACACGCGGTAGGACAGAAGAACGGATGGACAGACAAGTGGAAGAATGTAGGGGACTGCAGTGAGAGGGAAGCAGTTAGAGTAACAGCGTGTGGTACCTTTGCCAGAGTGAGAGAAGAGGAGGGAGTGAATAAGAGAGAGAGAGAGAGGGCGAGGAGTGAGGAGGTAGACAAGGGAGAGAGAAAGAGAGAAAATTATGAGGAACGTGAGAGGGAGAGAAACCCACACTTCGAGCAAGTGTTTAACACACACGATAGGCCCACGTGACTGACTACGAACCAGTCTGATGTCATCGGAACCCGGAGCTATTCCAGCTAAGCAATCCGCATGCATAATCAGCAAAACATCATAATTTTATTTATACTTGTGTCCTCGACTGCAGGCAAGAATTCGCGGTGAAATAACGTCGATGATTACATTATGAATTCACAACCTGTTGTATTATCGATATGAGTGACCTCAGTTCAGCTTTTAGACTTTCCTTGACTGTTAAACTGGTTGTACGTTATTTGTAGTTATCTGATGCATCTTTGGGGTTTATGTGGAAGATATTATCTGGAAAAAACTTATTTTTCTTGATTTTGGAGATGTATGCTGTTTTTAAATTTCGTTGGACAGATATAGAGGTTGCGAGAGTATATGGTAAAATCAAATAATTCAATTTTCCTGAAATTTCAGGATATTTGATTGAAATGCATCTCTGTTAAAATCATTGTGATAGCTTATTTCAAATTATTGACAGATATCGACTACTGCCATCTGTTGGTCAAATGAAAAAGCTTGTCAAAGATATCTATGGGTGATTGTAGATAATAGCAAATAGAAGGTAATGTACCGACAGTACACTTTAGTGTCAGTAAAAAATTCCACCACGAGGTGTCGACGCTATACGATTATTTTAATAAGAACAGCAACGTGCTTTCCCCTGATTAATCTGTAAAAGAGTTACTACGCTCTTCGACAATATTGAATATGGAAAATCAAGAAATTATTATTCAGAAACTGTACATAGTACCGAGATCTGATTAGGAATCGGCGTTCACGTTATTATCGTCTTTTAGTACCTTACCATCACTCGGCCACTCTCGTTCTCATGTAAATGAAATAAGCGAATCGAGTCAAAGAAGGTCTGCTTGTCTGACAGGAAAAATATAAGAAAAGTCTATTGCCTTCTACACGTAGCACGTAACATGAAAGAAACGTAAAGGAAGGCAACTATATCCAATCGAGACAGAAACTCAGTGATAAAACCAAATGATGACATCCCCGGGATAGGAGTGTCGCGGTTGGTAAAAATGGGACATCGATGGCGAAGTTAAAAAGCGTTCTTTCGAATATTGGGAGCGGCATTTGATATGTTATTGTCGTTCCCAAGGGTGCCATGATACACACCCAGCCGGTGCTCGGCGTCCTCGTCCTCCGGGTCTATTCTCAACCTCATTCTCGTCCTCCATCCAGCACCTCCCAGAGACGGGATGCAAATTCAATTGAAATTCGCAGAAGTAGAGGATAGGAGGATGATACTCTTATTCCCAGGCTCGACTGTCTAAGGGTGGGGTTAGGTGGTGTCGTACTGTCTTGGTCGTTCCGATGGTCGTTGTATCCAAAGTGAGGAGGGTGTACAAGGACAGAAGAGAGTAAAAGAAAAAGGAGGATAAGGATGAGAGATAGGGAGTATAAGAGAGCGCCCCGGGGAGTGACGCTTATATCGAGTTAGAGCCGTTTGAATACCGACACGGGGACGGTTGGGAGGGTTGTAGAGACATCGAGGATCAAAAGTTGATACTACGAGCACTCCCCTACCCTTATATGATTATCCATGGACCCCACCAAGATAGGTATTGGTTCCTACAGAAACGCCATCTTAGCCAGTCGCACCAGTTCGACGTGCGGAATACTTAAAGGCGTCCCCGCGTCACGCGACGCTTGACTCGCATAAAATATTCTTCTCCAAAGAGAAAACTTATCCCATCTTGTCCTTCTCTCTCTCTCTCTCTCCCTCTATATATATGTGTATATATCTGGATCAGCACACATTTTTTTGTTCCTCTACAATCTACACTCTAGATTATAATATAATTATATTAATTAAATATAAATTATAACATTCTGGATTACAATATCAAACAGATAAAGATCAGTGGACAAACTTTATATCTGGTGTGTCGTCTTATCTCATCAATGATGCAATCTAAAGGAGATATACGGCGAGAGAGGTCAAAGGTCCTTTGGGATCGATTTCGCGAAAGGACACGAACGCCCGAATAATCACTTTCCCGAAGAGCCGAGGGATATGGATCGTCGATGTCCTAGGAATCACTTATTCAGGATCGGTAATGAATCGGTTCTCCAGGGGATGAGCTCGTCACCTACTACGCCGGAGTCTGTTGGTTATCGGCACATTCGTTCTTCTGGTTTGAAACTAAGAGAATAATAAATTAATAAAATAAGAACTTATATAGGTCCAGCCTGGTGTATTCGGATACACAGTAAGTTAAAAATACAATCATTATTGTTACACGTTAGCTTCTATAGACTCTTGGAGATGAGTTTCCGGTCGCGAAGACTCCATTCGTCTTTAGAGTTTATTAAGTCGGTCCGGTCGCTTGAAAGATCGCAATGGCGCGTGCCGCGTGCCCATCTTCTTGGGAATGCCATTTGTTAGAGACTTCTATTCTTCAGGAATCCTTCTTACTTGCGACTATTTGTTTCAACCGCTCACGCCAGACTTTACTTCGTTATTAGAAGCCTACTGACAAATCGTCCGGACCTACAGTCGGTATTAATAAAGATGGCTGCCGGTGTGCGTACTAGAACAAAAAATTAATTACAAAAAATATATATATATATCTTTTTAACAGTAACAAGCTTTTTCGGCTCTACGGAGATGAGACAGTTAGACTTCCTGGTGAATGTGGATTCTGCAATGGTTATATAAACTACGTTAATAACGTAAACGTAAAGGGGGTATACATAGTACGCATAGCGGGTTAACTGTGATAATTATGAAAATGAAAAGGCTTCGCTAGCAGAGAGCTGGAGAGCAGGACCTCTATTATTATTAATATTTTATTTAATACTATAACGAGATAAGAGAGTCAAACGCGAGAGGAGGAAAGAAAATTAGGGAGAGTATCTCACGAGTAGGATAACCTCTATTAAATTCGTGCAGCACCGATATTAATCTCCTTCTCAAAAATTCCATTAGCGGGTTACGACGCATGGAGTTTCACCTGTTTCGGATAATTCGGAATTGACGTTTTTTTTAATAGAAAATGTCATGGCGATTCGTTGGACACATGTAGGAGTGACAACGGAAATACTTGATCCTATTTCAAAACGTAACACTTTGAACGACAGCATTTTCAAAATGTGATACCAATATACTGTTTTCCATTCGTCCAAGTATTTCCGTTATTTTTTTTTTTTTTTTCTAAATTCTTCGCAGCGAACATAATTATTAATTGAAACTTCGTTTTTTACGAGACGCGTAAAAAAATGCGTACACGCGACCCAGTAAGAATTTGCATAATTTAGAGCAATAGCACAGCACGTAGGTGGCTTAAGGGTTCATTCTCAAGTGAACGCACCCGTGCATACATCAGTTGCAGACTGTCGCAGGAGACATGTTATGGCGTCTGACGTTACCGTAAGAATGAGAACGCAGAGTTCAAGTTGGTTTTACCAATTTGGCGACACGAGAATCCACTGGGTTGGGTGGAAGTTATTGCGAAAGGGTAGGGCAGGTGTGGCGGGGTGGTATGGAGGTAGAGGACCGGGAGAAGCAGAAAAGAACGGGGGAAGAGGAATACGTTGGGTAGTTGTAAATAATATGAAAAGTGCGAGATAACACAGTGGTTCCTCCCTGGATAGAGGATCCAAGGAGGCATCTATGGTCTACCGAGAAGCGTCGCGACGCCAAGCGGCTAAGAGAACGACAGAGATACAGACGGTAGTTACAGTAAAAGTGAGAAAGAGAAAGAAAGAGGAGGTTGGAGAAACGAAAATGGAAAAAGTAGAGAAAAGGAAAAAGATACGTGGTAGGTAGAAGGAAGTCGTATACAGGAGGTAGAAGCTTGGACCATATTTCAAAGAGGGGATGGTCTCCGAGGGGTTGTGAATACCTTAATAGTCATAACATGCATATATCTATATGCGGTATGGAGTTGTCCCTTATGCGACTATATCAGAGATGCGCGACCATAGCGTGAATAACGGGACGGCACGAGGCGTATGGATGTTCTAACCTCACTGAAAAATTCGTGAGGTGATTAATTAAGATTGAAAAAATGGATGGAATAATATTTAGGGTGATACGTACCAATTGGCAGATTGACGCAGACAGTCAGACTGCACGGTGTAGTGGCGTCTGCTGTGCGTCGGACGTTAATAATATCACTTGACTGGCTGATAGGTTAGGTTTGCTGATTTACCGTGCAGATGGTAGTCGTACGTTCCCGGATTCTCTCGCGCTATTTAATAACGAGAGTCTCTATTACTCAATGACTGTTAGAAGAGGGTGGATTGGTTCTATTGGTGCAATCGGTTAATCACCGCTCATCCCTGAGTGTCTCGGAGTATAAGGGGCTTAGCTCTCGGCAGTCTTCTGGATACTGAGACACGTTCAGGCACATCGTGGAGGTTAGTATATCTGACGGGGGACGTCGTACCTCATAGACCAGCCAGCAGCTATAGTCACCCTGTTAGTTACCAGCTAGTCTGCTCTCTCAGCCCCCATATCAATTAATCTTACCTAGAATGCAATAACTGTCCAATCTGCTCGTGGCTGCGTCATGGTGTCGTGCAGTCAGTGCCGTTATGTCCTGCTTCGGCCAAGTGGCATCCTCTGGTGCAAGGGTGACTCCTCGGAACGACCACGGAAAATCGAGCAGCCGGAAAATCAGAAAGTACTTGTGAAAATGAGAGAGACTGCGGAGCGAGCGGACGCGCGACTGACAGCGCTAGGCGGCCATATTGGATTCGAGAGTAACGGGTTGCCGCTGAATTTAATTTGAAATCTTGAAAAGGAGAGAAATGTTTCGAGTGGAATCGTCAGCAGGATTACGATTAGAGATCGGACGACGTGAGGAATTACAAATAGTAACAGCGTTTATTTTTAATAATGAATATTAATAATTAATAATGTCTAATTACAATAATTACATAATAATTAAATGGTACAACAATAGAAACTTGGATAGCGAGAAAAAATGGGAATTTTTTTCCACGGGCCGAATCTCGTCGGAGCGCCTCTCTTTTTCTTTTGAGGGAAATATTTTCGGGTAAGAATATTATTAACTCTCACTTTTATTTTTCATTTTTTTTTTCGCAAGATTGTGCGCACACTGCCCTTAGTCGGATTGGAGCCGACTGATTCCACTATCGTGTGATTCTGCTATTTATATCTTTATTTATAATATATATTTATACTTTTGTATTTATATATTTATACTCTTAGTACGTAGGTAAGATACAGGCTAGGTGCTATTTACAATTGTTGGTCACTGTCGCAAACTGCGGGATGCCCGTCCTCGACGACAGCTGCGTTAGATATGCAAAGTTACAGTACGTCGCTCGTATCACGACGCGTGTCGGTCATTTTGCGACGATCGACTCGATCGTTCAACAAGATCGATAATAATCGTAGGTTTAGATGATTTTGTTACGGGATACGAGATTGGCGCGCCTTAAGTACCGACTAAAACTTCAATATTCGATAGAGATCTATTTTTAATAATATTGACGCGAATAAAAAGGGGCGAGGGAAGTAGGAGTAGGATTGGGTTCGTTGAAGTTATCACGATTGAGATCGAGTCGAGCGCTAGACATTGGTTAGGGCTCGCTGATGCCTATTTATATACTAAAGAAGTATAGTACAGGTAGTAATTGATTAGTAGTAGTAGGTTATTAAAGTAGAAAGTATGAGAGCTCAGTGAGTTCGGAACGGAAAAAAGCCGATTTTGCGTATTTCCGGTTGATGTCGATCGAGTGCCCGATTAAACTGATAGAGAGGATTCTTCCATGCTCCGTCTTCTAGGACGACATTGGGGAAGTTTAGATTACATAAAAATTCGAGTATAGCTAGTCTTTGGTTTTAGTTTGGTGCCCTAAACGTGGATAGAGACCGAGAGATGGGGATGAAGTTCGAACGAATAGTTCATCAACCCCTACGACGTCCCTCCTTGTCCTTACTGCATGATAGGTGCGTTTCCAGGATTGGTCAGGTTACTCTGCGGGATGTTGACGATGGGAGGACGATGCGTGCTGCCGGTGCTCAAGTCGGCGTGCTGGGTCTCCCGGTGTCTCCTGAGGTCGACCTTACGCTGGAAAGCCCGACCGCATAGTTCGCAGGCGAAGGGTTTGAAGCCCGTGTGCTTTCTGGAGTGCGTTATGAGGTTGCTGCTCTGGGAGAAGGCTTTGCCGCAGACTTGGCATTTGTGTGGTTTTTCGCCTGAAAAATAGAAAGTTGCCGATTAGATTGTGCCAGATCTGTGAGAGGGAAGGTCGGATAGCCCGGTTGATGCGAGTGACGATGCCGTCCTGAGGGTAAACATCGAGGAGTATCATAGCGGCGTGAAAAGAGTCGATAGAGGTTCCAGGAGAGTGGAGTTTGAGAGCGTAGGTGGTGGTCGACGAGGAGGCAATTCTAAGGCACCCTTGGAACGGTCTCGGGAAAGAGGGACGATGGTTGGTATGGTGGTAGGTGGTATCAGGGATGCAGGGCACGCCCGGTCAAGATTTCCTCCCAAGCGAGAATCTCAGCCACCCTGGCGGGTAGCTCGGTACGGACTGAGGGGGTGCTCGCCAGAGAGGAGGTAGGGATGCGCTCGTTTCTCTCATCCCGGCCGCGAGCTCTGATTGGCGGCCAGGGGCGGCTCCAACCCCCAGTTTCCATAGCGACCGCGGTACCCCGGCCGAGAGAGATTCCGCTATGCGAACTATGCTGCCTGCAAGCAGCCGCTGTTAATGGACTCCCTATCCATCTATCTGTCCGGCTGAACCCTGCGCCCGGTTCATGGAATCGTGGGTTATTGGGGGCGGGG